AGAATAATGTATCTTTAACCATTAAAGGGATTTGGAAACTGAACATGAGGGTCAAGAGCATAAGACCATGATTAACAGTCAATGAATAATAGGAGAGGATAAATCATATGTGCTGTAATTTGGTTATATTCATAATTATAACAATGGGGATCGTCATATTTTTGTTCCGTCTAGATGTTAGGCGGTCCATAATAAAGTGCCTCATTTGTGGGAGGGAGTCCAAGGAAAAGTTGAAGCTCTTAAGATTATAGTAACAGGGTTATTAGTCTTTTCGATTCGGTAAAAGACTTGATAGCTGCGTGCCTATAAAACTTCAAGTACAGTGTCACCCAGTCTCTCTTAAAAGACGAATAATTTCTTATGGTCATCGAGAAGCAGTAAATAAGAAACTGAACGATTTTTGCTCGAAAGGTATGATTGAATTGATTCAGTCTTCAGCATGGGGTACTCCTATTGTTACACCATTGAAGTTGGATGGCAAGACCTCTGGAGTATGTGGTGACTGTTGATTAACACTGAACCCCCATTTGTTGAAGCAAACGTGTACCACGGTAAAGGATGACGATACTCTTAATCAACTTCAGGGTTCTAAAGTGATCTCGAAAGTTGAACTAAAAGATGCTTATCCTAAAACACCCTTAGATCAATCTTCATCTACGTTGACAATAATTAACACTCCTTTTAGCCTGTTCTAAAACAACTTCCGTCCATTTGGTTCAAGTTGTTCTCCAGCCATATTTCAGGAAGTGATGACCAATGTGGTCAGTGATCTTGAAAGTGTTAACGTTTATCAAGATGGTCTCATGGTTCATCGTTCTGATAAGGTAGTCCATGATCAGAGACTTATTGCTTTACTGCGTTGTTTAATCAAGAAGAATATTACGGTGAATCCAAATAAGTGTTCATTTTGTGTATCTAATTTTGGGTGTCTCGGATACCTAGTTGATGGTAACGGTTGCGCCATCTCCAAAAACTCTTACAAAACTACGTTCATTAGTGGGTGCCATTCAATAATATTCCCGGCTTATTCTTAATTTTCCTTGTCATGCCAATTGTTTACTTGATATTTTGATATCCAATTCACTTAAATGGAGTGAGAAGCAAGAGTCATGCTTACGAAGTTTGCTAGAGTTTATTAAAAGTAATGCTGTTCTTCGAATTTGCTCCCCAATGTACATTCTGCACTTACTACTGATGCATCACCTATGGGTATTGGTGCAGTTTTGGAGCAGGGAGGTAGACAAGTTATCTGTGTTTCACGCCAACTTACTGTCGCTAAACAAGGTTATTCACAAACTCCGCGAGAAGCATTAGCTGTGTTTCGGGCTGCTAAAATACTTGGCAAATATTTATTTAGAAAGAAATTTACTATTGTTACTGATCATGGGGCTTTAAAGCCCACTTATCATCCTGAACAATCCTTAGCACGTTCCTCAGCTTCTATGGTTCAACGATAGAGTATTACTGTGAATACCTACAACTGTACAATCCAGTAAAGAAGTTCCAAATGAATTCGACATATTGATCACATATATCGATGATCATTACAAGATAAATCTAGTAGTATTGCATACTATTTGTTAAAGCAGCATTTACCAGCGAGTCTTCCATATCTTTTTTGAAAAACTCGCCAATACTTTGGACGTGTATTCAGTGGTGTACGAATGCTAATCTGAAACGTAGATTTTCTGTCTATTCTTCAGAGTGAGATGTGTTATCCACTACTCCTGATGGTATTTCCTGTTTAAATAATAGTGTTGTTGTTTCTCCTTCATTACGTAAATCTTACTTTCAACATCTTCATAGTGAACGTTTGGATGATGAGAAAATGAAATCCTTAGCAAAGCACACATGTTGGTGGATTGAAATAAATGCAGACATGTGTCGTGCAACAAACAATTGTGAAGGATAACACAAGTTGTAAAATCAGCCTTCGAAGTGGACTCCATGGCCAGTATCGTTTGAGGCCTGGCAGAGAATTCATGCAGACTGTTGTAGTCTATTTCTCAGCAAACACTATGCACTTGTAGTCATTGATTCCTTTTCGAAATGGTCTGGATGTTTTTCACAGCTTCACCAAATTCTGGTTTCACAATCCGAACATTAAGAAAGGAGTTTAGTCGAGAAGGGGTTCCCGAGGCATTAGCAACTGATAATGGCTCTGATTTTGTTGCAGACGCGGCCACTACCTGGTTAAGTGGTATAGGGTACAAACACCTGTTCACTACTACCACACATCCTTGTTCCAATGTTCAGGCTGGAAAGTTCACCAGGACATTGAAAACTGCCACTAATTACATTGCTGCTTCAACACGTGATAAACTGAATAGGAGAGTAGATATGGAAATATGGAAACGCTAGAAATTCTTCATCGAAACTGACTCCACCAAAGCTATTAAAAGGAAGAATCCTCCGTCCGAATATGGGGTGTTTGGAGTCTGCAGAAGTTACATATTATCGTGAGAATGATCTTTGACTGGCCATGGATATTGTGGTGAAGAATGTCGGGGAATTCATGCTGCGAATTCTAGATATCAATGACTTGAATATACACAACCGACATGTGGACCAAATAAAATTCTAGGAACCAGGTGGGTCTGTTCCAACTCCAGTAATTAATTCTAATACTTATGATCAGAGTCTAGATAATACATAGTCTCCATCTAATACAATACGTGGTCGAGTGTTATAGGGTGCAAACTCAACAAGCTCTCGGCCCCTCCTTAGGATCCAAGTCAAAACGTGTTCTTCTTAACGATAGGAAAATAATATTTGAACGTCCGACTTTTGCTATCTTAGTACGTTCTATTTGTTCAGACTAATGTATTTAACAGGTGAAATGTCATAAGTTTATGACTGCATAAATGGCGAAAAGTTTTCAAAACAATTAGACCCTTTGCTAAATTTGGATAGTTTAGTAAGAGGACGTAGATTATCAGCACTGTATAACACATTGCCTCAATAAACCTAGTCACACATACACTTGTTTAAGGCAAAACAAAGAGCCAACTAGATTAAAATGGAGGGTGAGAGAAAAAGTAATAATAAAGTAGATGCTGCGAAGAGACAATGTGAAAAACCATCACTGGATAAAAAGTTAATATTAGCAGCGTAGGTATGAGGTAAAAACAAACTGTTTTTGAGTACATAAAGAGGGTTTTCAAAGTCGCTAGTTGTGAACTCACTTTTGAAGGTTGTACATTGAGACTCGGTCCTATCTGTCGTTGCTCGATCAGCTTAGCTTTAGAGTAAAAATAAGAAATGCCCGATATCAAGAAACTTTAATGCACATGATATTAGTTAGACATAGATGACCACCTCAGGATCTGAAGACTTTCGACAGTAGGCTCTTGATGACGGAATAGAGCATTTTTTTCGTACAGCACGTATCCGTACCCATACGTCTTGGATGGAACCAAAACTCTCCGCTATTAGACTTAGTAATCACTCACGCGACCAAGGATATCACTTGTTTAAATATTCTTCTACGGTTAGCAAATATCCATCTTGCTGTTTTGTCATTCATGTTCAGAGCTTGTGACATAATATACAATTATGTTAAACCGCGCTTAAAGGTATGAGGAGAAAAAATAATTCCCATTCAGGAGTGTGCTGCAACAACGGACTGGTCAGTAAATACTAGCTCATCAATTGAAGAAGTATGGTGTATATTTAAAGGCACTCTTGGTTTAGTTACTTCTCCCGTTTATACCATACTTAGTGCCACATAGACCACGCTGTGGGTGAGTAAACAGGTCAAGAAATTTTGTTAAGTGTAGGAAGACGCACAAATCTGCTCGTTGCAAGACAAGAATGAACTGCAGCGAAAGATAGGAGTATTTCAGTGGATGTATTTTTCAAGGCCTCTCACCTTAGTCGTAAATTGAAACTAGAAGGTTATGGGATTAGAAACTGTATAAGTGACTCCCTCAATTATAGGAAGCCATGCGAACTGGTAAATGAGCTTTATTGATGCTAAAACTTGAAAAAGTGCAGTCCCGTAAGATACAGTCCTCTGTCCTCTTCTTTTGATTGTACGTAAACGACATATTAGCCGTAGCAAAGTCGTCTGTTGCATATTTTGTAGATGACGTAAAGATTTGAAGAACCATACGCAGTATACCAGATAAAATAATATGACATGGTGATCTAAATTTACTGGTTGAGTGGATAGGTAATTAGTCACTAGAATTCAATTCTAACGAAAATATGGAAGTGCAAATGAATGACTCCGAAAATTCACATCATTACACAACACATAGAGTTGTTTAGCCCGCAAAGATCTGGTAGTTCATAACTAGGAGTAAGCGCCAAGCTACCGTTGCCAAATACATCAGGGTCTTATGTTCTATTAGTATCTAATTTGATTATTTAGACCCGAATTTCGTGAGGCCGCATCTGGAATATGATGCTCAAGAAGTAAGTCCTCGTTTTAGCCATGAGATGAATATTGTAAAATGAGTTCAACGGTGAGGGGACAAATTGGTGAAAGGTCTCTCTGAACCATCTTATGAAGACATACCGTAGGTTACAAGGAAACCTAATACTGGCTTACCGTATACTGAACATTATTCATGGTAATAACACATTTTATTGTTTCCTTATATCCAGCACCGATCACCTGAGATGACGTTCCAAGAAATTTCGAAAACCGAGATCCAAGTGTTTGCGCCTGGACTCTCTTTTTTCACTGCTTGGTTGAAGTAATGGGACTTTCTACCAGAATAATTATTATTAGCACTCACTCTTGACACATTCAAGCAATGTTGAATATTAACAGTACGATTAATACGGGCCGATTGGCCTCTTAACCTTACTACTGAAGAGGGAAGTCTGATTCAACATACAGTTGTAAATTTCATTTAGTGTTTCTGATTCAAGAGAATATTGAGGTAATTTCGGCTAAAATATTTCTCGTTGATGTGATATGACGGTTCTTATCCCGTTCACTATATTTGTACTATGGTGTCCAGTCTTGTTTAATTTTGTAACTAAGTCTCAAGCAACCTTGTGAAGGTCAAGTTAGTAGTGGCGCTGAAGCCGGGGGTTTGAGGTATGTTGGTGTTGCTGGGTTGCTCACTCTTAATTACTTTTATCGTAATAATAAATGTGAAATATTGAGTTAATACAAATCCTTCGTTTGGTCTCAATACGAACGTTGATTCGTAAGCAGTCTTAGCTTCACTTTGATTATGTCGTGACTTCAATTAGGTATGATGTCACTTTTAGACCTTGTTCTCAGGGAACAAACTACTACTGCAACATTATATTTAATAAATTTGTTCGCCATCTTGTCCCGCAGCAGTGTTCGTTATTTTCGACGGGTCTTATGAGAATTGTAAAAACGTCTTCCTAATCACAACTGAGTGATTCCAGTGTCCTGTATACTTATTGTGGATCTTTGAGCGCTGAAAAACGACATGTATACTAAATCACGCCTCAGATTTCGGCGAGCATCAAAGTCCTTGTTTAATATGACTTCACACCCTCAAAGGTTTTACTGTTCATGAAAATAAAATTTTAACGTTCGTCCCTATCTATGAAATTTGTCTATAAAGCTAAGAAATTCTGAATAAGCATTACAAACACCGTTCAAGTCCTCAGATTTTTGGTTAGTGTTCTTTGTCTTACAATTAGTATCAGGATTTCTATGAGTCGTTTTACTGAATTTAGTTTTTCTCAAACAACTCGTTGAATAATGCAAAAATTGCTGTCCTTAGTTCGCGATAACATTTATGATTCTAAAAAGATAGCGAATTTTCTTTTAACACTGCGTGTGTCACTCACACTGCACTTTTTCTACAATAGAACAAAAAATTCTTTTGTCATTCATACTTCAATGTTTTGTCTGTGACTATCCTCTTTTCACAAGCGTTTGGAATCTGCAAGTCTCTTCAGCAAGGCAGTACAATTACTGTCAAATAGGAAATATATTTGACGTGAAGTAGGACAAAAGCTTTATGAGCTTTTTCTTTCTCGAAACGTAAGTAATCTACAAAACCTGAGACTTACAATCTCTGTTAAATGGCTTATTGTCACGTTTATTCTTGTTTTTGACATTTTGTATGTGACCGTATTGTTTTACAAGCACAAAGGCAATTTCACTGAAAAGTTGTGCATACTACTACTTCATTATTTCTCTTGATAAAGTTATCCTTTTGCTCAAGGATTTTGGTAACTTGGACCGATGGATATGGGTTAGGTTCTTTGTTGTCTTTGATCAACTGTCTATCAATTAAGGGGCGAGAATATTGGGCACTAGTTCGTTCTGTCCTACTTTATGGGTGCGAAACGTGGCCATTAAGAGTTGAGGATACTCGTAAGCTACTAGTATTTGACCACAGATGCCTTAGAAATATTGCTGGCGTCTGCTGGGATCACCGGGTAAGTAATAGTGAGATTAGACGTAGGGTATTAGGGAATGATGGTAAATCAGTTGATGAGGTTGTGAATCTTTATCGACTGAGATGGTTGAGCCACGTGTTAAGTATGCCTGAACACCGATTGCCACGACGTGCAATGCTAACCGGTGTTGGGGATGGTTGGAAGAAAGTTAGGGTCGGCCAAACGAAAACGTGGCATCAATGCTTGAAGTTACCAAGTTGTGTTCTGAGCCATGTTGGTAGATGCAAACTACTTGGTTGTGGTCCGTGTGACTATTGTATCGAATGGTAGGAGACTGTGAGTGACATGGCTGAGGATTGTTCACAATGGTATAGGTGTGTACATCCTTTGTCTTCCCTTAAACCATGAGATTAAAATTGCTTCAGTTGGGTATCTTACTTGTTATGAACGTGAATGATTGGATTTATTTACTAACAATATTGATTGCTTTTACTACAGTCATTTTAAGAAGCAGGAAAACATTTCGGTAGAATGTAACTAGAATATTATATCATTTGGGAGGAAGGCTTTGGAAATAGTCCTATGAATTCAGTTTCGTGTATTAAGGAACCATGTGTAACTACGGGCGTTATCATAAATGTTGTAATTATTTTTTGGTGAATGAAACTGTTCTGGTATTTACTATTGTAGAAGAGCATCCAACTATAAAACTTTCAACCCTTGTGTCTGGAATGTGTATTACCTCAACATATCATGTTGTTTGCAACTTGTACGTATACTTGTAGGAGGCTTCTCAATTACTATTGGGGATCAAGTCTTGAAAAATTTAGAATGCATATTTTACTTTATCGGCGATTGATTTGTAAATATCTAGGCGTTTGACACCTGTATTCTTTGTATCCGATTTTATTTTCCATTTTCTAATGCACTAATGTATTTGTCTCGATAGTTTTGCCTTGGTGGACTGTTTTTAGTCGTACAACTCTGTAAAACGTTTTATTTCCTTTATTTCTGGAACAAACTGCACATAACGGGTACTGGTTTCAAATCGAGCATTTTACTATCTATAAATGTCCTCTTTCTAACCTATAGTTTGGTTTCTTGACTTTTGTAATGGTTGTTTTCGACAGATATTTTTTTCATTGATTTTACAGGAATCAATTTTAAATGATTAATCTCGTATGAAGTAATCAGTCATAGTAAGAAAAAATGATAATGAAAGAAAATGTCGAAGATTTTCCCATGGATGAACTTTCTGTATCATCTACAAACTGTGATATTTCATCATCATTCCCTGATTTAGCCAATTCAGAATTGTTTATCCCACATCCTACTTACATTCTACCTACATGCTCTTCAGATGAATCAAATGATAATTTAATTTGTATGAATTTCGAATCAAATCATTACTTAAAAGAGGCCATGAATACTATGTATGAATTATTTCAGTCTCGAAAATTAACTGATGTCACATTATGTGTAAATTCAGAATCAATTCAATGTCATCGAATTGTTCTAGCTGGTGCTTCACCATATTTCCGAGCTATGTTCACTGGTGAAATGCGTGAAGCACTTTTACATGAAATTAAATTACATTACATATCGGCAAGTGCTTTAAAAAAGCTAATCGATTTCGCATATACAGGTAGAATACAAATAAGTGAACGGAACGTATGTGAATTACTCATAGCTGCTTCTATGATTCAAATGTCTCATGTTGTCCAAGCTTGTTGTAGTTTTTTAAAGCAGCAATTACATCCTTCAAATGCTATTGGAATTCAAGAGTTCGCGCAGTCGAATAATTGTTCCGAATTATCGTTTGCTGCTCAAAAGTTTATTGATCAAAATTTTAGCGAAATAGTAAAACATGACGAGTTTCTAGGACTTCATCCTAACCAACTTTTAACTTTAATTAAACGTGATGAATTAAATGTACGAACTGAAGCGGAAGTGTATAACGCTGTTATCAGATGGGTAAATCATAATAGAAATTCAAGATCATCTACACTGCTTGAAGCTTTGTCTGCCGTCAGATGTCATACACTTCCTCCTACATTTATACAAGGGCAAATAAAAAATTGTAGTCTTCTTGCAGGTTTCACTCCTGCAAAATCTCACTTGCAAAATATTCTAGATGATCTTATTAAACACCGTCATATCTCAATAAATAAACGGACAGCTGGGTCAATGGAGGTAAATTGGTTATCGTTATTATAATTCTGTTTAGCTGTTTCGACTTATTTTTATATGTAAATGTTTATTTGTGATCTAGCTTATTGATCAAGTTAAGATTTAAGTTCTTATCTTCTAGCCACGTGTTGTGTAAGGGCTACTAATAACTCACCAAAATCGAAGTAGGTGAAGTGTGGTTAACGAATCCAACTCGATAGTTTACTTCCAAGTTCGCTAAACACTAATTTACCCCTTCACTAAATATGTACATACATATAGATTCTCATAATTAGAAATATAAATGAATACACTTTTTCTTATATTTATTCTTCGTATGTGGCTGATAAAACGTATAGTGGCCATCGAATAAACGTTTTGAAGCGATAATTTAGTAGTTAGACTGTTCAATTTTCAGTTGTTAGGTCTCACGTTCGAAACTCCCCTCACTGGCTACTTCGGTTTACCCAGTCTTGTAATCTCACTAACATTCATATAAAATGTATGGCTTATAGTCGTGTACATAAACTTAGCCTTGTTAAATCATTTGCATTTAAAACAATACTACTTTGTCAATAATCCATGCTCTTATTTAAAGATAAATGACATTATTAAAGTGTTTTCTATTATTTTAGAGTTGAAAGACTTGCCTCCTGCTAGGACCTATCTGTTATATTCGTGTTATTATTATTATTATTAGAAGCTTTATTCAACATTATATTTTTGGTACAACATAGAATTCTCAGCATAAAGTATTTTAACAAGTTTCCTTTTCTTATACCTTGATCGATTGTGACGATAAATTTTGAATGATGACCAGTTAGATGTTAGGAGTTCGGTAATCCACATTTGATTACTGTTCATTCGTTTCAATGCATATTGCCAGCCACCATGATGTCGCTGGTTGTACCTTTTTGTATCCCGTATAGCGAAAGGTTGTAAACTTTTCATAAACGCGCCTGAATAGATTGATCGCACAATAGACATAGTGATGTGCTAAAACAAGCAACAAAACAGATAACTTGATGAAATATCTAGATGGGAGGAACAGGTAGCCCAGATATTCAAGCAGGCCGCCGGTATAGATCTTCTCTTCTCTCATTGAAAGTGTTCATGGTAATATACTTGTTGTATTGACATTATTTTGCCACTGTTCATGCTCAAATGGTATTTCGAGGATCTATTTCTGTAGACGTGGGGGATACAAACCAATCTCATTGGTGGAGATCCAATCATTATCTATCTTCTTCCAAATCTTAAGCTTAATATTGTTCCACAAATCTATTTTTTGATCTTATTTATTCCTTTGAAGCTGCTATCATATCTCAAGAAAAATAGTGATATGTTAATGGTACGGCTATTTGTTATGACTGCAGAAAAACTGCTGCTTAGTACTTGTTGAGACAGAACAAGGACTAGATTTTCGAGTTGTATTTTTTGCTTCTTCCTTACACCTTTGAATTTAGATGCGATTGAGTAGAGTTTATTGTAGGGAGTAAGCTTGAAAATCAGATATCATTTTCAATCCCTTCCCCCCTTTGCTGAAAGAATGATCTTGGACCGTGTTCACTGGAATCTTTAGGAAAATAATCTGCGTCTTTTTATAGACGGATGGAAGACATCGACCTTACCAAATTAACTTTCGTATTTTTCTATTTCGATACTTTACACATTTTTACTTTTTATACGGATATTTATTGCTAGACTGAAAGGCATCATCATACACCCCGCACATACTATTCTCTTTAAACAGACAAAGGCATTATTACAAATATTTTGGTTTAGAGACTTGACATTTTTCTCATCCTTCACCAATTTGATCTCATTTACATTTTCTTGCCAAATCTTGAGGACCTAATGATAATTATTGATAGCCGCCTATCAAAAGTTGCGTATTAACTTCAGGATCAGTAAGTGTCGCATACAGATATGCTGCAGCTGAATTAAACTTCAGTTACCAAAGCGATGTTTGCGTATTTGCATGGGCCATACACTTTATCCGAATATATACTTACCTAGCCTGTTACCTCTCGTGGAAGAGAATAGGCATACCACCAACATTCTTCATCCAACTCTGTTCTGGACAATCCTTTCCAGTTGTCTCCAGTCGCTATTCATTCTTTTGATGTTTATTTCCAATTCCTGACGTAGTGTGTTCTTCGGCCTTCCTCGTTTCCGTTTCCCTTCTAGATTCCAGGTAAGCGCTTACCTCGTGATACAGTTTGATGATTTCCGTAACTTATATCCTATCCACCTCCAACCTCTTTTCCTAATTTCCTGTTCATCTGGAAGTTGGTTTATTCTCTCCAACGTAGGTTGTTGCTGATGGTATCCGGTCGACGGACATTGAGTATCTTACGTAGATAACTGTTTATAAACACTTGTAACATTTTGATGATGGTTGTGGTAGTTCTGGAAGTTCCAGCTCCATACAGTAGAACTGACTTGACATTCGTATTGAAGATTGTGACTTTGATATTGGTTGAAAGTTGTTTTGAGTTCCATATGTTCTTCAATTGTAGGAATGCTGTGTTTGCTTTGCCAATCCTCGCCTTTACATCTGCATCCGATCCTCCTCGTTCGTCGATGATGCTGCTAACCAGGTACGTGAAAGATTCCATCTCTCCCAGAGCTTCTCCATCAAGCGTGATTGTGTTGGTATTCTCTGTGTTGTATTTGGAGATGTTGGTTTTTCCCCTGTGTATGTTGAGGCCTACTGATGCAGAGGCTACACTTTTTTTCACCTATATTTGTTGGTGTGTATGGGATTGAAGAGTTGGATCATCTGCCAAGTTCAAATCGTCTGTTTTGATCCAAGGTGTTCATTGTATTCCGTGTTTCCCCTCAGATGTGGAAGTCTAAATAATCCAGTCAACCACGAGAAGAAAGAGAAAGGGAGAGAGAGTAAGCAGCCATGTCCGACTGCGGTCCTCACTTGCAATGCATCTGTCGGCCGTCCTCTATGCACGTTTTTGCACTGTAGTCCGACGTGTGGGTTCCGTATGATATCGACGGTTTTCTCCGATACTCCATAGTGTCGAAGATGTTTCTATAATGTTCCATCCACACTTTCAAATGCTTTCTCAAAATCAAGGAAGGTGATATATTGTGACGAGTTCCATTCAATTTGTTGTTCAACGATGATCTTTAGGGTCGTGATTTGGTCTGTGCGCGACCGATCCTCACGGAATCCGGTTTGTTGATCTGGAATCTGGATGTCCACTGAATCTTTCATGCAGTTCAGCAACACTGTTGGAAACATTTCCTGGTACCAATAATAGTTTAACTAATCTGTACTTCTCACATTTGCTCAGATCTCCTTTCTTGATGAGGTATGCTTTCCAGACTGTCGTCAATTTTTCTTCCCAGATTTTCCTGAACAGGTTGTGACGCATTTTTGTATTTACTTCTATGTGTGACATCAGTGCTTCAGCTGGTATATTGTCAGGTCGTGCTGCTTTCCCACTCCTGATCTGTCTGATGGCCATCCTGAATTCTTCGATCGTTGGTGGAGCGACATCTATAGGACGGTGTGTGTGTGCTGCTTTGACGTTTGGTGGATTTAGTGGTGCTGGTGTATTGAAGAGTTCTTCGAAGTGTTCTACTCATCTGTTCTTCTGTTCTTGAATCTGAGTGATTGGCTTGCCATGTTTGTCCTTGACCTGGTTTTCTGGTTTACAATATTTCCCTGTCAGTTTCTTCGTGTGTCATATAGCATTTTCCGCTGTTGTTGCTAGGTCTTCCACGTATTTCTGCTTGTTGACTCTAATACTCCTCTTCACTTGCTTGTTAGCTTCAGTGTGTTCAGCTTGTGCCTTGACTCTCTCTGTTCTTGTTTGACTGTTGTTAATTGCTGTCTTTTTGTTCTTTTTTTCTTGAATCTTGTCCAGGTTTTCGATCCATTCCTTATGATGATGCTTGTTGAGGCCCAGAACCTCCTTACACATTGAAGCCAGTGCTTCTTTCATCCCTTTCCACTTGTTCTCCTTGGTAGATTTCTCTGCTTTAAGTAGATCTTGTAAGTCTTGCTGTTGATAGTTATTTTGAATTCTCTGAGTTTGTCAGTATGTCGAAGGAAGGATGTATTGAACCATTGTAATGGTTTTTCCCCAGTTGTCCAGTGTTTGTTTAGTTTCAGTTTCATCTCGTCAACCACCAGTTTGTGATGATCTGAAACTATGTCAGCTTCTCTTCTGGTTCTCACGTCTTCCATTGTCCTTCTGAAAATCTTAGTGATGCGATTATGATCAATCTGGTTCACTGTAGTGTGATCCGGTGAGACCCATTTAGCTTTGTGTATGCGTTTGTGGGGGAATTTTGTTGAGTACACATAAATTTGTAAATCTGTCACCATTCTCGTTCCTTTCTCCCAGTAGTCAGTCCTTGTCGTCCCATGATATCTTCATAGCTAATGTTCTCCATTCCGACTTTGGAGTTTAGGTCTCCCATCAGGATGGTCAGATCTTTTCCTGTGCACTTCGCTATGATTGATTGCGGCCTCTCGTAAAACTGATCTTCATTGTCGTCATTGCTATCTTTGATGGGTGTATAAAATTGGATGACGTTAATTGGGATTCCCTCCCTCTACATTTTGAAGGATGGTTTGGTGATCCTAGATCCATGTGACTCCCTATGAATGCTTTACGTGTTTCTTTGAACAGCATCAGAGTAACTCCCTGAGTGAGGAGAATTTTCTTCATGACCAAGGTAGTACAGCATCTCTCTCGAATCTAATCTATCCTGTCCAGTTTGGGTCCAATGGGTTTCACTTATCGTGAGAACCGTCAAGTTGTATCTCCTCATTCCCATAGCTGTTTGACTGGTCCTTTCAGTCTCCTTCATTGCCTGGACATTCCATTTAACTATATTAATGGTTGCTCTGGTTGTTAGAATGGGCATCAGCCTCATGATGTTTGAAGAATTTCAACTTTTATCATGAGGCGTCATAATTCTTCTTTCAATTCAGAGGATAGAGTTTAAATGGTTTAATTTGTTTATTCTGGTTAGGGTTTTTTAGCAAGGTTTTTTCCCACGGGACGAGGTTGCCGACCCCATGCCCAACCCTTCTGCTTCGTGTGGGCTCGGGACCGGCAGGAATTCTGGAAGAGCTACAGGCGGAGTTATCCGATTATATAAGATAATTTAATTATTTTGTGCATTTATTTCTTACTTCTCTTTAAATATAGTATTCCCTTTCATTCACAATATTTTCTGCATACTATATGTGACCCACTCTATTTTTCGGTGCTCTGTTGTAACATATTTTATATGTTTGTATAATAAAAGTAATAATAGTTAAATGACGAGTACTAAAAATTGGTAACTATCAGGTTAATATTTTTTCTAAAAGCACTTACTGCTTCGTTAAAATTGGAATCGGTGAAAAATTTTGTCAAGATGAAATTGTCAAACTTGTTGTCTCTAATTGATTTTAAATTTTTTGACACTAGAATAGATTTTTAAACCATTGCTGTGTTTAGCCAATATGTAATTAAATCTTTTCTGCGATAATAAGCATCGAGCCATATCCCGAAATTTAGATTGAAGTCAAACTAAGAGACTGGCTCTTAAACTGTACTCATTTTCTGAGATTTTGTCAGACAGTTCCCACTGCAAATAGCTTGATTTCCTCCATTGTGAGTGTTATCTTTAAAATAACCCGTCTCTACTGTATTGTCTTGAAGAAAATACTCCAATGGCCATTAGTTAGCTAAATTTTCTGTGTTCAACTTTCTATGGTAGTTAACATTTCCCCCTTCTCTGCTCGTTGTGTTAATTTCTCTCGGTCAGTTAGGCTTATAAGTCATATTTTTTGTGGCAAAGGCTTTATAGGATTTAACTACCTACAGATGAATTTCTAAGCTGGTCCCTAGGTTGTCGAGCACATAGTCCTAGTGTGCATTACAACCAATTAATACCTTAACCTTCTCGTTTTCAACTCTTGATAAATTCGTGTTTTTTAAGTGGGAACATGATACATTCTAATGCGCCATTAACACGGTCCTGAGTACTAAAGGTAATCTTTCGACCATCAACACCTTTTGGACCTTGATGTACGACCGAAAATATAACACGTGAATTTCTTTATCAACTTCTTTGGATGCGAGAGACGACTGGTTATCAAGAGTCTTTAAGGGTACTATTTTAGGCCTTCCATCCAGGTCTTTAGCTTACTTTCTCGACATTGGCTTCAGATAACCGATCCCTACTTGCTTCGACATAGTCAACGGGGACTTAACCACCTGGCTGCAGATATTTTCGTATTTCCAACCATTTAGCTATTGCTTGAAGGATAGGTAAATATTTTCGCACATGTCTGTCCCGAAATTCAGTAGCTAACGTCTGCGCTTCATCCCATCTTTTATTGTATTATAAAGTTTTTTTGGACTGAGACTTCGCCGAATCGTAATCTTTTCTGAACTGACAACTTATCTTGAGTAAGTGCCTCTAGGGCGACGCAATCATCTGTCATCTTCACCAGTGGTCTGTTGTTCAGTATTTTTTTCGGCCCTGGCCAGAAATGTTGATAAGTTTCTTAAAAATCTTCTTGATTTCATAATGCACTCCCACACTCTGCCTTGATGGTTTATCCTAGGTGGGTTAGAACGACATTCACATCCGCTTTCTTTAAGGTTGTTCTTTAGTAAAAGCTAACCATATTGGTAGGTGTTTAATAGTATCGTTTGTTGGGTTACTCTTTGGACCCATACCTTACAAACATAACGTTTTGAACATCGGATATATGCACAACGTCTTTCAACGTCTAGATTATACGTTCATCTAAAATAACTCGTAGATGTTTGTATGTAAAAGTACAAAAGATTTTGTTCGATAATCTCGGATTCGCACTAAATGTTTGACTTTATTTAGGGGATTTAATTGTAGGAAAATCAAAGTTAAATTTTGTAGGTAATCTAAGGTGAAATATATTGTTTATGTCCCCTGTGGAATAAATTAAGAAGAGTTAAATTCGTTCATAGATATTATATTATGATTCGATGACTCACAAATTCACTTTATAACCATTAGATTCGATGTTCATATTTACTTAACGTGACTTCAGTTTCATGAACTGGGTAGTAGTAGTAGTATTAACCCACGCTTAGTTATTATGAATGGTAGTATTGTGGTTTATTGATCTGAAACGTTTGACCAGTAAGTTTAAAATTCTAATTTTTGTTTTGCCTTCTACTACATAAACTGGTACTTAATCACTGAGTTCTATTTTTGACATTTTTTGCCAGTTCCTTTTCTGATGACTAGTTATTTACACAATCTTATTTTGCAGATTCTTTACTCAGCTGGTGGTTATCTGCGTTATTCACTAAGTGCATTTGAATGTTACAATCCAGTTACAGCTAAATGGAGACGTCTACCAGATATACCTAGCCCACGTAGTGGCCTGTCTGCTTGTTCTGTACGTAGTTGCGTTTATCTTGTAGGAGGCAGAAATAATAATGAACAAGGAAATATAGATGCACCTCACATGGATTGTTATGATCCAAGAAAAAATTGTTGGACTACATGTGCTCCTATGTCAGTGCCTCGTAACAGAGTTGCTGTTGGTGTTGTCGACGATATGATTTATGCTGTTGGTGGTTCAACCAATACAATGCATCATAAAAGCTCTGAAAAGTAAGTATTTGGTTTGGTTTGTTTTCTAATTGATAATTTTACATCTAATTAATAGTGTATTGTTTATTGTATTATTATATTATCTATCTCAACGCAAACCTGACAATTATTCAAATGACCATAATCATGTTAAGTGACACATAACTCAAATATTTTTGACTCAATTAGTTGTTAATGTTAATATCATGAAATTTGGACTGCCGATATTAGAAATTCATTAAAAACCAAGCAGTATTGAACAGTTACTTCGTCTTTGTATGAACTACTTAGCAGTGTGCAACCACACCAGGCGCTAGACCCAGGACTTTCAGGTTTCTCAACAAGCACTTAACTCTTCGGCTACTATTTATTTATTTGAAGACATAGATGTTTGGTATAAGGGGTCACCAGATACATATGCGCCACACAAATCTCATTTGATTTGTGTGAGAGCTGTGATACTTCCCGGGTGACCAAATCGAAGCAGGGGGTTTTCTTAAGGGGCCACACTCGGAGCCTTTGATCTAAAGGTCTGATCCACAAGGCAGTGGAGTAACGTAAGGAGATGCAGTCCTATGGCAGCCGGTGACCAACAATTGTTTCATACGCCATTTGTTTCCTCAGGATACTGGAGCCCATGTACGCCATTGGTTTGGAATCAGGGTTTTCGAACTTCCCTAGGTGGACTCTCCATGTCCACCAACCCGGTTAAAGCGCCGGACATTCGCTTTTCTTCCTCTCAATTTGGTAAACAAGAGTAATGCCGCGAGAAAGCATTGAGTAGGACTTCCCTGTCAGGGGCTATATACGCGTGGCCATGTGAGAGCATTTTTTGAGGGAGAGCGGACTCTCTCCACTCTCGGTCGTACCAGGGCATTTAGGGGCCTTCGGCTACTAAGTTGTCATCCAATAGTTTAGATTTCTATATTCGATCAACCTGCAATATTACTCAATCATCATTCTATGTCATTGGTGGAAAACTGAAATTTGACAATCTACAGAAAACTATCCTTTAGTAGTAAGATTTCTGTCATAAGTTATTACTTTTTTTTGCTCAAATTAATAACATACTTTAACATTTGTATATCATTATGGTTAGTATTCAAAATATTGAATTGTGGTTCTTTGTGCATATTTTTCTTTCCAGTTAGATAAGATTAATTGGACATATTAAATCAGGGATAATAATTTCAATATGAAGATTTAATGAGTTTATATATAATTTAAAAAAAAATTTTAATGTACACTGGAAACTTATTAGAATTTCATTCTTTAATGTTAGTTACTATTACTAATTAAATGAAAAATATTTCTTACCTGATTTACATGTTTTTACACCTTCAATCAATCAATCAAATACAATATATATATTTAGCGAAACTTCGTCACAGTATATACTAGCGATTATACTTATTGTCTTAACAACTTTTGTTCTCATTATTAATATAATATATCGGTAGTCACTTCCGTAGTTCTTCTCTTCCCTCATCCTGCTTCGGTTTAGGCACTTGGACAGTATCACAGCCCTCATGCAAATCAATGATAACTACTATTGGCCTCAGTATTATTGTGTAGCGTATATGTATTTGGTGCCCCTTTATTCCAATGTTTACGTGTTCAGATAAATAAATTTTTTTCCCTCTAATTTTCTAGACAAACTGTAAATTTTTTTTACTAATGAATGCCAATAAATGCATTTATTTGTCAATTGTCTGATTCTTTTGGGTTCATATGTTTGACTTTGTCTAGTCCATACGTGTTTAGATCAGATGACCTTGAACAGATACTTTTTTCATGTTTGGACCGATATAAATATAAATAGATAGATAAACCGACCTATATTTTTCGCCTTGTCAAAAGTGCATGATTATAACTACTCTGTACAAAAAGATATGATATTGTAATTTATGATTTGTTAAAATATGATCAAATTAATTCAATGACAAATAAAATACTCAACCTTTGTAGTTTCGACTTCTTTTTATCAATGCAATCTCTGAATTATGTATATATAGTCTACATTATTTTACTGGCGGCCTATTGATAACAGTCACTCTATTATATTTTGTTTACTCATTTAATTTGAATGTATCTAAAGTATATATAATGATGATTACAGAACATATGCTCTCTTTCATTGTGTTTCTGTCGATTTGCGAAGGAATTTTACAGCAGAATTTAACACTCCAAAGTACTATGTACATAAATCATTTGAGCGTTTATGTATAATTAATAAAAACGTGCGTAAAGCATATTGTGTTATGACAGTGATCAGTAGTGATGGTTTTCATCTAAATTCTAGCTATGTGATAAACTAAAATCAATCGATTCATGATCTCAATCAAAAACCTAACAATCCCCACAACCCTAAATTGATAATTACCATGTGCTCACTAGCGACTAGCTTTGTGAGGGGATTCTCGGAGTTCTAACGAGAAGCCGTGGCCAATGGTGTTAATCCATGTCAGGTAGAGACAGGTATCTACCTCAAACAATAGATGGTCCCTCAATTTTGTGGATTGGTTGAAGTTAGACGTTAACATCGTTGGATACCTGTTCAGTGGCCTGGAGGTTAAGCGTTTGCTCGCGAGACCAAACGCCCTGGGTTCAAATTCCGCGAGCGGGATCGTGAATACCAACTGCTGAGGAGTCTCATACTAGGATGAAACGGCCGACCAGTACTTTCAGATTTCCAGTGGTAGTCTAACATCGATCGATTCATGATAAATAATAATTTGACTCGTTTGCCCAGCATTTGACTAGATTAGAAATTCCAAACCCACAAAACCTACTCTTGTACTTGTACAGATAGCAGCTAGGTTGTGTTTTACTACCCTTCACAAAAAGTAATGTGACTGAATGTTGACTGCGTAGATCTGTACTACCAGTGTGCATAAGGAGGAAATATTCCTTGATCATATTTGTAAATATAATAAACCCAAATTGTCCTGTTGAGCAACCTTGGAATTTTTAACTCTTATTTAAATGAAATAACAGCGAATCTGAGTTTACCAATGATATGTTGATTTTACATAATTAATGAAATTTTCAAGTATATTTTACGTTTGTAACTGTTAGAATTCAGGTTTACAATTTAAGTTGGTTTATGTATACTATGTATAATTCATAATTCTAGCCCATAAACCCTAACCACAGACCCGCGTAGTATAACTAAACCTTATCACGTAGAGTAGATTATCGCTAATTACATAAACCCATACGGTAAAAATTTTGTGTTATAATGTACACAGCTGACTTACCTTAGTTCTTTTCCTAAAATTTAATCTAAGATAGTTAAAACTACCAATAATTACAGTAAGCTTTCTCAATAATACTGATCAACAATAGATAGATTTGTTTTGGTCTACAGTTTAGTGTATGTGATAATTGAATTTATCAGTATTGTTATGATAAACGGCAGATATATTCTTCATATATATATAATCTTGTATTCTGTATTGTAGATATGATCCAGATATGGATCAATGGATACCGATAGCTTCTATGAATAGTCGACGGATTGGATTAGGTGTTGCTGTACTTAATCGGTAAGTAAATGATTTTTACAAGTTTTGTTTACATTTCATGTAACTTTTTCTCTGTTTCTCGTTCCTTTATTTTGTCTTTTAAGTGTAATATTTTGTCCACATAGAAATTTCAGAACACTTTTTATATACAAGTAATGGTTCCAAATGGTCGTTGCTTTTTTGTCGTTTCTGCCTACGCTCCCACTGACTGCAGCTCGGATGAAGTGAAAGATGAATTTTACAGAAAGCTAAACGTTCAGACGTTGTACCCGTAGCAGGTGACTTTAATACCCAGATAGGTAGCTTAAACCAAACAGAAAGGCATTTAGGTGGGTATTTTAATATTCCGGCTCAGTGAACAAGTAATGGCAATCGTCTGCTGCAACTGTGCTCAGACAATCGTTTATTTTTAGCAAACACTTATTTTAGGCATAAGGAGAGACATCTTCTAACACCAAACCAACGATGGACTCAAATAGACCATATTGCCATCAGTCATCGTTGGAAAAGGTCGATGGAAGATTGTCGCTCATTCTGGAGTACCTGTTTGGACTCCAACCATGCTCAAATACGAGCATGCATCTGCTTGCGCCTCACTGGACACGAAAAAGGCACATTAAAAAACCCATTAGAACTGAACTAAGTAGCGAGAAAACCAAAAGTAGGTTCCAGGAACAACTGAGGTCACAATTAGGTAGTTCTGAAAACGAGGCTAACCCGGATGTTGCTTGGGAAGATATGCAATCAGCTGTGGAAACAGCAGTGACATCTATTAGTGACTTAAACCACAGGGTTACAAAGAACCAATGGATTTCCCCAAGGTCTATTGCACTGATGGATTCTCGTAAACTCATCCCATCAGGCTCTGAACACGATGAAGAGCGAAAATAAGTCAGATACAGGTTAACCAAAAGTCTAAGGAACGACCGTAAGCAGCGGTGGACAACGAAAGCAAAAGAGATGGAAAAGGCGGCGGCTATAGGGAACACAAGACAGCTCTACAGGCTAATAAAAAAACTGGAAATAATAAGTCGAATGTAAGTGAGACTATCTCGGTAAAAGACGACACTCTCATCTGCTCCCAGTCCAGACGTTTAGAACGATGGGCGGAACATTTCAGAAAACAGTTCAGCTGGCCTTCAGCTACTCTACAACTACCCTCCATCCCCAGACAGTGTGAATGGAACATTGAAGTAGGTCCCCCAACTCTTGCTGAAGTTCAAAAGGCTATAGTTAATCTAAAACGAGGAAGGGCAGCTGGTCCAGATGGATTGACTCCAGAGGTCTTTAAGTATGGTGGTCTAATTTTAGCGATTAGGGTTGACTAATATTTTAGCTAAGATCTGGGAGCTGGACGTTATCCTATCTGACTGGTCACAGCCAATTATCGTCCCAATATATAAGAAAGGGTCGAAATCATCCTGTGACAACCATAGAGGGATTAGTTTAACTAATATAATATCTAAAATACTAGCCTCGATAATTATCAGACGCCTAACTAAAACTCATGAACTGCAAACACGAGAGAATCAAGCTGGCTTTAGACCTGGTCGTGGCTGCATCGACCACATATTCACCATTTGTCAGTTTCTAGAACACAGGTATACTTATCGGCGTCCGACAATGGTGGTCTTTCTTGACTTAAAAGCAGCATTTGACTCGGTAGACCGCGAGATTCTGTGGGATTGTCTGTCATTGAAACGCGTACCTCAGAATTACATAAACCTTGTGAAGGCTTTTTACTCGAACACTACTAGTCAAGTCAGAGCTTATGGCGAACTGTCATCTGATTTTGCGATCTCGAGTGGTGTCCGGCAAAGCTGTCCACTATCTCCATTTTTGTTCAATTTCATCATAGACCTACTGATGGAAATAACATTCTCATCGACTGAATTCTCGGGTATTGATCTCCTACCAGGAGGTCCGCTTATCGACTTAGAATACGCAGATGATATAGTCCTGTTTGGTGAAGACGCTGATAAAATTCAGAGTATTTTGGTAGCACTGAACAACAACGCCAGAATGTTTGGAATGCGCTTCTCTCCCTCTAAATGCAAGTTTTTGCTTCAGGACTGGTCTGTGTCAACACCTGAACTAGGGAAAGGGAGTGAAGTCGTCGAACGCGTTGACAACTTTACTTATCTTGGATGTCTGATCATCTCTAATGGGTTGGTGTCTGACGAAATCTCAGCACGGATTCGAAAAGCTCGTTTGGCTTTTGCCAACTTACGTCACCTATGGTGAAGGCGAGATCTCCGTTTATCAATTAATGGACGAGTATACTGCGCATTAGCTCTCTTTGTCCTACTTTACGGCTGCAAAACGTGGCCATTAAGAGTAGAAGATAGTCATAAGCTACTAGTATTTGACCACAGATGTCTTAGAAATATTGTTGGCATCTGCTGGGATCACTGGGTAAGCAATAGTGAGGATAGACGCAGGGTATTAGGAAATGATGGTAAATCAGTTGATGAGGTTGTGTGTCTTCATCGACTGAGATGGTTGGGCCACGTGTTAGGTATGCCTGAACACCGATTGCCACGACGTGCAATGCTAACCGGTGTTGGGGATGGTTGGAAGAAAGTTAGGGTCGGCCAAACGAAAACGTGGCATCAATGCTTGAAGTTACCAAGTTGTGTTCTGAGCCATGTTGGTAGATGCAGACTACTTGGTTGTGGTCAGTGTGACTATCGTATCGAATGGTAGGAGACTGTGAGTGACATGGCTGAGAATCGTTCACAATGGCGTAGGTGTATACACTCTCTGTCTTCCTTTAAACGAAGAGATTAAAATCGCTTCATATCTTTCTTTCTACGTACTAAATCTTTCTTCCTGTACTGTATCCTTATATGCAATCCTTCTTTTATATATTACCACAACTGAATTAACTACTCCTATGAATCCAGTGTTCATCTTATGGTACTAATGCGGTGTGGCAACTTTGATCGATGCATATATGTGCATAGTCCTACGTTGTAGCTCACTGACTGACTGACCGATTCCAAGTGTATTATGATAAATTATTTAGTATTTACATCATAAGCTGTCCAGCGTAACGTAACATATTTAACTAATTTATCTTCAATTATTCTGTTATAGAGGTTCATAAGTAGTCAGTAACTAATGAATTGTACTGTTAATATTGTGAAATAGCATCCAAGGTATGTAATATGCTTCAAAAATACAATCTGAATATATCTTATTCTCATATTTGATACAAATAAAGACACAACTATATGATACACTCAACTAGAAACCATATTCAATAAAAAAATGTTCGCAAAATTGTTGGTATATTTGTGAAAATTCATAGAACCACATGTACAAGACTAAATTCATTGTAATCTTTCCATATAACAAAAATATTAACTATAAACTAATTAGTAATAGGTAATACATCGCACAATACGTGTTAGGCATATTGGATTAGTTTTAAATAACTATAATTTGAATTCATCAATTCTTACGGGTATGGACGAAAAATGAAAAACATCGAATTCGACCTCAACTTTTCTTGTACAAAAACATGCACTATTATTACCAGGGCGTTTCGTAACAAATATATCTTTCCTGATAAACGTCACTTATAGATTGTTAGAATTGGATCAGTGAATTGATAGACATAATGACTTATTGTTGAATTTCCTCATTCTGTTTACTTGTATTTCTCGAAAATAAATGTTGACTAATTTGATTGTAAATTTCACTGGTCTACTTGTATTTATTTCTAAACTAAACATTTCACAATATTTATTTGAGTAACACTTTACATATTCTAGATAATCAATCATACGGTTATAATGTACGTAACAAGAATGCTAATAATCAGTGATGAGATTTTGTTACTGGGAAATGTTCCTTGTGAATGTATTAGCGGAATGAATTACGTGTATAGATATGTATGATTATGAGTTTAGTTACTTGACTTGACTAGGTAATTTCACAACAATTATAAGAGAGATCAGATCAAGTTGATTTGATAATTGTCGTATTTAGGAAGATACTTAAATTACTTAGTCTTTACCAGGGATTATTTAAAAGTTATTAAACTTTAAAGTAATCAATGTAAACGAAAGACATTAACTTACTTCCCTAAATCAATAATACAGTGTGGATGACCCAGATTCTTATTTCTATCATTGTTTGATCAGTTCAGAGTCTGATTCTCTTAGGTGAATCGTTTTTATTATATTGATGATCTATTAATTGAAACAATCTTTTTTTTCTCAAGTTGCACTAAACGATGTTGGCTAACTTGAAAAATAAATTATTGCCATTCTAACTTGATTCAAGTTATTATCACATATGAATTATTTTATCATTCACAATCTCTATCATACTTATTTTATCTATTTACAATTCGAGGTTTATATTTTATTCGAACTTTTTCATAATTGTTATAATCTTTACTGAATGTGCTAAAAAGTATGAAATAAGCTGGGATGTACATAGAGCTTCATTGTGTCTGTTCTTCTTCCTAATTTTCTCTCATTAATGACAAATACAATAATCGATTCATTGAAATTGTACAAGATATGTCTTTTGCTGTTAATTGGTATTAATGAGCTATATTAAAGGATGATTCGCGCTTAAAAACCGTAACAATGAGTATCTTATTTAGAAGATCAAATTTAATATTATTTGTTTAATTATTATTTCTTTTAAATTGTACTCCAATTAAAAACTAAAATGAGATGGATCGATGAAACTATAAAGGTTTCTGATAAGTCATTATGTACACCTTATCTACTAAAAACGTGAATTATGGTTCTGAAATATAAAATACACTAACCTTACCTTTTAAAATATTTCCTATTTGTTACTACACACTTGTACTGTCTCCTTTCTGACTTCGTAAACCATCTTGGAAAATCTTCAGAAGTTCGATTTTCAAGTTGTCTTCTTAACAAACACTTCAATCTTGCATTATCCTTTCAGTTTTCATCAACACCCACCAGCCAGTCAGCTACAACGTAGGACTAGGCACTACTAAAACTATTGACCTACTTAAAATGAGTTTTTTCTTCGGTAGGTTAAGTTTTATAAGTGGCTCTCGACATTTGATGAGTTTTCTGAAAGTTTTCCTCAAAATTTGGTGTTTATTCACTATTCTATTTGTTCATCAATCTAAATCGTTGACAAGGGCTGAAAACATCTCTACTCCACCTTTGTAAGGAGTCTAAGAGTTTTTTAAGGCACTATCAATTTCTAGATTGTAAAATAGTAGAATTAGTACAGAAGTAAGAAATATGTAAATCTCCTCTCATATTTATTGAACGGAGTAGGTGTTATTTACATATTATTTCTTAAAAATATTTTTAGTTTATTATACGCTGTTGGTGGTTTTGATGGTGAAAAACGTTTGAATACAGTTGAACGTTATGATCCGGAAAAAGATAATTGGGAAGAGTTAGCTTGTTTAAATCGAGCTAGATCTGGTGCAGGTAAGTTTGGAGTTACTTATTTACTTTGTATATATAAGATTCACGTATTTTATACTAGACTTTAATCCTGTCTAAGTTTTTAAAATGTTGATTTTATGAGGTCAGTCGAATAGCTGTCAGTGATTTAAGAAAGGGCGAGGGAGGGATAGAAGTGTTTCGTTAGTAAAATATTAGTATACAATTCGATTTTCCTCATTGAAGTGTACTTGTTTTCTCGTCAATATGTTCCATTTTCGTCGCTTTTTTGTTGTCCTTCCTCCCATCTTTAACAAAGTATTCTTTTGAATGCTTTGTCTCATTCTGTCTTTCTTCACTGAGCTCAGAGAACAAAACTCCACCAAAATCATCCACCTGAGCTACAAATCTTCTCCACCATCTCATTTCTTCACTGTCTTGTGCACAATTCTCTTACCTCTCTCTCTCTGGTGTATGTATGTTGGTAATGCTTTTTTGTATAATAGCATCTACATGGTAAATCATGTGTCCATCAGTTTGACATTTCTTACCCAGTTATATCTTTTTTTTTCATGCTATCACTAAGGTTAATTTGAAGTGTTACATGATTAGGAATTGGTTAATCAGTTGGTTTACTTATTAAATCATGTTGGTAAAAGGTATACTAAACAGTTTATAGTATAGTTTACAATTCAGTTACAATATACAAACTTTTTAAACGTCATAATCAGCACAGTAGAAATAAAGAAAATTAAACTGTGTAGGTGGATATATTTCTAGATAATGGACAGAGTATTTTTTTATCAATCATTCAGACATTTGTGTTGGTAGGTTAATCCCTATATGAGAACAGGTAGACGGTGGCTATGGTTAAATGTTTAACCTACTTACTCATTATAAATTGACCCCACGCTTCTTCATTTAACTTAACATGAAACTTTTTTAAATATCATTATCTGATATGTCAGATTTTGTTTGGGTCGATCAGTTTGTTGTACAAATGACTTTATTCTGATCACTGGATGAATATTCCGTATTAAGGTAGCATAAAGAGTTTGGAGCTCATCAATAATGAATACACCGAGGATGATCCTCTTTACGTACACCATACCAAGAAGTTATTTGACAATAAGAAAAACTAAAATGTCAACTTTCTTACTGAAAGCGTTCTGTGTCATTGGTGTTTTTGAATCTCATAGTTAAGTATATTTCAGTTTATTATTACTATTAATAATAATCATAAACTTTTTAATGAATAACATTGAAGGAAAATAAATAAATTCAGTTCAATGTCAATCAAAACGGAGTTTTTTCCTCTTAATAAAAGAATAGAATAACGTTTCATTGGGTCAACTGATTTTTGATTGGAATAAAGTTTCTCGAATAACCACTGAGCTTCTGTCATATGTATATAGGGAATTATAATAAGTCACGTTTCATTATTATTATCCAACACAATAGTTTGTTCATTTTTAGACAGCATACTCATTTTGTTTATTAGGCATGTCCAAATCAATATTTCTGACCATACTGTGTTTAAACCAGTCAACAGAGCAAGACAGTATGACTCAGCTAAACGCATTGACTCATACACATTTTTCACGTCGTCACGACTTAATCTTCGCTTCTCATTGATCTTGTTTGCTATTCTTCTTTCTACTGATACTTGTTATTTTCTTTCTGTTGAATAATTCGTTTACGCAGTTTGACTTCTCTGTTTGTATATCTTTACGTTCCTATGCACGTGTGTGTCTATGCCTACATCTCAGAAAGAATCTTCATTATTTTCTGGTACACGTAGCCTAATTGTCTAGATTTTGTTTGTTTTTTTTTTCTCTCACTAAATTATTTTGATATTCATGTCGATTTTGACTTTTGTTGATTTATAAACTTATTATGTTATGCATTTATCTGTAATAGCACAACATCTTCAATCGTATGTGTACACGTATATCTATATACCAGCAGGTAGTAAAGAAGTAGAAAATGTGAGAAATCCTGTGCGTATTCACTTGTGTGTATCAGTAAAAAATAGGAGAGATTGTCTAACTTTTTTTTTACCTGTCTATCTATTTATCCATTTGGTCTCTCGTCTACTTGCCTAGCTGTCTATCTACCTAACGGTTATTTACATTTAATAATTATCTACTTCGCCTAATAGTGATAATTAACTTCTTTTTTTTATCCAAATCATCGTAGACTGTATTTGGTTTATTATAATTAAGACTATTATCCGTAGACAGACTGTCAGTTGTTTTGTGCTCTAAAGACTTGTTGTTGTTATGATTATTGTTTTTTCGTCGTTGTTGTAGTCATTATCAACATCGTTTACTTGTACGTACGTATGTATGTATGTATGCATATACATAAACACACACATACACATCTGTGTCTGGGTCCAATTCCAGATTGGTATTATCAACCCGTTTTGTTTTATGTATGTTGCCAATCTGTTGTCTTTTCTCACCAGATCAACAATGTTGGTATTCTCTGTCTGGTTTTCCTCTTGTCGTTGTCCTATCTTTTTCATAACTTCTTTTTAACAATACTAATGTCTGTCTGATAATACCAGTCCCTGTCTATTTATTGATTTGTCTAATTATCATATGGTCCCTACCGTTAGTAGTGTAAAACATACGTAACAGTTTAGTAGAATGTTTATATGGAATATTTCGGCTTAGTTATAAACGAAATACAGTTTATTATTTAGAAAAAATAGGATGACAGTTTAACAGTTTTGTCGTAAAAAATACTGTGTAAAAAACATTTTTCATATTATTATTTTTACTTTGATTATTATTGTCATTATCACTATTATTTGTTCAATATACATTTCATATATCCCGCTTTCCTATGAGTAGTTTGGCTTTATTTAAACTTACTGGTCAAAGCTATGGAAATTAGCGGATTTTTCCAATTAAATCCATTGTTCGAAGAATTAAAAATATTTCATTGAAGCCATGATCCGATCAAAGTTAGTCCACCATTGAAAAAATGGAAGCACTGAACAACCGTTTCGTCTTAGTACGGGACTCAACAGTGGGCATCCACGACTCCGCAACCGGGAACCGAACTTAAAATCTTTGGTCTTGGGCACAAAAACTTAGCCTCTAGACTACTGAACTGAGGTCTAGTGTGTACAAGTCTAACTTCAATCAGTCAATGACAGCACACGATTATCTTCCAATGTCTTCGGTCAGTACTTTCCTCACACCCTCAATATGGCTTGGTCCCACTAGTTAAAAGTATTGACTGAGTCCCAGAAAAAATGTTGGGTCGAAGAACAAGAAGCATCTTCAACGATAACATCAGTATTTATCTGATAATCCCCAACCCACTCTAGGATATTAATAGTCAAGCGTTTAGTTCATTGTGGGAATGTATTTTAAATCAACAAACTAACTGATTATTATTACTATTAAACATACGACGAGCACATCATTTTTAGTTCACTTTGCTGCCATCCAAGAGTGTACATTGCAAATTTCAATCAGTTCATGATATTGTGATCATCTTCTAGTATCATTGTTGAATAACTATCTTATACTTGATATGATTTAACTCCATTAGTCGTAGCTCCTCAGAATTCCTGGAACAGGATTATTACTATTATCAGCATATGGGATTTGTGGAGATTGTTAGATTTACATCGATGACATCATGAGCTGATGTTAGTTAGCTATCCAATGGTTGTTTAACTAAGTTCAGCCAATTATGTAGTCCATGATAGTTTATTATTATATGACGTTTCCTCAGATGGTGAATTAGTGACTACTTCATAGTAATTAGATGATGAGAATTTTTAGAAATTTTTGAAGAAAATAAGAATTATATTCGTGTAGAAGTTAAGACTATTATTTGTAAAAAGAACTATGTACTACTCTACACTAAACAGTTGTCTAGTCATTTTTGGATATTGTTTTATTTATTTCTTTATTTTATCACATAGATATTGGTACAAGGATGCACCAAATAGATATGCACTACACAAATCTCATTTGATTTGTGTGAGAGCTGTGATACTTCCCGAGTGCCCAAATCGAAGCAGGTGGTTTTTTACGAGGCCACACCCGGAGCCTTCGACTTGAAGGTCTGATCTACAGGGCAGTGGAGCATCGTAAGGAGTGCAGTTACATGGTAGCCGGTGACCAACAATTGTTTCATACGACATTTGTTCCCTCAGGATACTGGAGCCCATGTGCACCATTGGTTCGGAATCAGGGTTTTCGAACTTCCCTAGGTGGACTCTCCATGTCCACCAACCCGGTTAAAGCGCTGGACATTCGCTTTTCTTCCTCTCAATTCGGTAAACAAGAGTAATGCCGCGAGAAGGCATTGAGTAGAACTTCCCTGGTAGAGGCTATATACGCGTGGCCATGTGAGAGCATTTTTTGAGGGAGAGCGGACTCTCTCTACTCTCGGCTGTACCAGGGCATTTGGGGGGGGGGTTATTGTAACTTGACCTAGGTTTTCATTATGAATGATGATAAGAACCAGTGAATTTTAACGTAATATCTTTGAAATTTGAATTAAAATACAATACAGCTTCCGGAGTACTAGTCAGAAGCTACAACGACAGTCTTAGGACTCAGGTATTCCTACAATGTTTTTCTGAGAACAGGTCTTAACGCAGACTTCTACTTTCGATGGCATAATAAGAAGACAAATATTATCAGAACTATGTGATATGTTAGGGCAATACATTTCGAACAATCCGATCTGAAACGGGTCGTAAGATTGATCTTAATACGGTTTTGTGGTGTTGTACGAAAGTGTAGAAGTGCATATACTAAGGTTTATTGAAGCATTAGCCATACGAAAATTCATACCCCCTCTGTGTATTCAAAAGCAGTTTGTTCTCACATTAAACCTACCCTGGTAATAATAGATTATTATCCAGAGTAATGAAGTTTCAAATTGTTTTCACATTATTTTCTTTATTATCATCGTCTTCTCTTACCCTCAATTTCTAGTCTAGTTGACCTTTTATTTTCATATATTAATGTTCTTAACAAGTATATGTATGATCAAATTGTTCGAAATGTGTTGCGCTAATATATCACATAGTTCTGATAATCTTCGTCTTCGAAATTCATCAAAGGCACTAATTACTTCAAATTTCGTAAAAGACTTCCTTCAGACTTCTACGTTTCAAGGATAACCGTGTCTTGATTGTTAGACAGATACCCACTACTGTCATTGGAAGGTGATTGCGTAATATTATATCTATATCTATCTATCTGTCTATATATATATAATTTTTTGGGAAATATTTTTAAAGGTGTTGTTGCACTCGGTGAATACATTTATGCAATTGGTGGATATGATTCCTGTAGTCAGCTAAATACAATGGAACGTTATGATCCTAAAAGAAATTGTTGGGAATACTGTGCATCTATGCTACATCCAAGATCAGCGTTAAGTGCTTCAGTATGGGGAAATGAAATATGGGTTTTTGGTGAGTTGGTGAATATGTGAATAGATGAATAAAGTTTTTTTTTTATAAAATAATATCACATTTTATTGTTACTATTGTCATTATTATTATATAACATTTCCTCATTCATTTATATGTTTAATGTTTTGGCTGAGGATTAAGTCCGATGGTCAAGTCTTAGACCGTTAAGTATCCTGCATAACTTGTGTCTCACATGTTATCTACATTTCAAGGAAATAGTGTCATGCCTTTTTCTTCTTCCTTTGTAATATTACATCTATCATTTTTGATAAATCTTCGGAGTGAACGTTTGAATCAGTTTCCTAAGCTCTTCTAACAACTGCAGGCTAACTCTACACGATAACTTGAACACGAGATAGAAGGTGCGAAATACGGAAAGAATGCTCTACTCCAAGTTTAGTTTGTGTACAGAAAATTGGGGGTATTTATAACATTTCAGATGGTCTCGGGCTTCTGTAAAGTTTTGGAACCCTACTAAACATAGTAACGGGATAGGTAATCATCCATTCAGAAATGTGACACGTGACTCTTCGCTTTCTAGATGCATCCTAGAGACTCTTATTCGATGCTGATTAGATACAATGTTTCTCAGAGTTTTCAGGGCTCCTTTGAGATTTTTTCGAGGAATTTTCTGAGTCTATCAATTTATAGTGAGTAAGTAGCGTGGCTCATTTTCCAGATTGAACTAAAAGACTGATATGTAAATCGAGTTTCATCCAGTACTATAAGTTGTCCTGAAATTGACAAATGCAAATTCTCTGTTTATCAAAATTGATGCATTCTTTGTTCTCTTAAAGATCATTATTATTAATGTTAAGTGCTCTCGTTGTTCGCATTTTTATGTTTAGGTGGCTACGATGGAAGCGAATTTCTAGCCAGTGTTGAAGTTTATAATCCAATTAAAGATCAATGGACTGAACGAACTTTTATGGATTGTGGTAAATCTGGGCATGCAGTTGTAGTTAGTCGCGGACCATCATTTTGATTGACAATGTAAACTTTTGTTTTTGTCAAAAAAGAGATATTTCCTCATTTACATTGGGATGTGCAGAGAAAACAAACAAACAAGAGATAAAGAGAAGATCGTTAGAGCACTCTGTGATTTTCACCCACTTTTTTGTCTATTTCTGTTTATCAGCGCCAATATATAACTATCAACCTTTCAATTCCCTCCCTGCTTGTCCTTACTCCTTCTAGTCCCTATCATGCTTACCAAATACTGTAATTAAGGTACTAGTCGTAGTAATAATTAAACTCATTGATAATTTCACTATGAAAAATACTAAAACAATGCTAACCAATTATGTTTTATACTGTTTTTCTCCTTCCTTTTTTATTCATCCAGAATAATAGTCATAAAGATTGTGAATATAATTAGCGATTTCACTGTTTCTTCGGTATATATGTCTATATGTAATACTGAACGAATGAAAACTAACCTAAATTGTACATTAGTTCTACTCCTGATATTCTCCTACATAAATTTATCTCATTGTAAAATATATGTTCAAACTTGTTTGCCCTTTTTACAGTTTTAAAAATTTACTATGCCCATGTCTACCAATAATATTAATCATAACAATAGTAATAATATTGCATATTGTACTTATATATATCCACTCTCTTTTGCCCTTTTCTGTCCGTACATGCATCCACATAGGTTCTTGTGTTTATTCCGTCATTCTCTTGACTTCATAGTATAGGGGATCTAATTCCTCATTTTCTGTACATAAAAAATGTTATATTGATATTTGTTTGATTTTTTAAAGTATTCTTTGGAACCTGTTGTACATTAATTGCATTGTTTGTTTTGTTTGTCTTGTGTGTGTATCTTGTTAGTCTTTTTTTTAAACCCAACCTACTACTAGTATTAGTATTGTGTATATGGAACTTTAAAATGTAGTTTTCTGTCATATATATATCCATTAAATTGTTGGGGGAAGATTTTAACTTGATACTACTACTGACACTATTACTCATAAAATGGCGTCTGTTTTTGCTTTTCTGGAATAAACAGTTAATATTTGTGAATGTAAATGATAAAAAATATTTTCAATATTTCATAGCTTTTCCCTTTCTTTTTAAAAACGTTCAAGAAGATACATATGCACTTTGCTTTGTTTGTTCTGAATTTGGAAATGTCAATCGACCTGACATGATGGATTTTGTTTTAGATTGGTGTTCGTAATTCTATACCGTGATTTTTAATTAGTGTACTTTGTATGTTTGGGTAATTGCATTCGTTTCAGTGACGAATTAAGCTAGCCACTATGCTTAATGTAATTCTACATTTAGTGAGTGCATATTTTAGAGTTTTGAAATTATTTTCTACGTGGTTCAAATTTGGTTGATCAGTTAAATTGGTTGATGCCGTTTGTTCAAACTGCTGGCGACTTTTGATTGGTTGCTTTTTCCTTTTGAATTATCCATGATACGTTTTCTTGTTCTGATATACTGGATAACTTTTAGATTTACCGGAAATGTTCACTGAATATTGTTATTCTATGTCATGTTTGTCTCTTCTTTCATGATGATCAATTTATTGGAATGAAGTCTCCACCACTTTGAACGACTCGATATTGATTTGCACTGTGATTACAGATAGTTTAAAGGACTGGGCAATAAACCTCAGGTTTAGGTCTTGAGCTAAATATCAGAAAAGCGTACTTGCAATCCTGAAAGTGGTTTTACCTAAACGATTTGGAACGCTCCACTTAACGATTTTGTTGACACGATGTATCTGTTATACCGAGTTTTACTACTGACCCTGCAGTCGGATATCTTTCCTGAGATCACTGTGTAAGCGAGATATTTAACACTTGAATCTTTACATCACACATATTTCTTCTTGTCATTATTATTAACTTAAGATTTATTGTAAAATGTCTTGGTATGAGGCTGTATTTTTATCGTTCTCATCTATGTATACTGTATTATGATTTTGTTGTTCAATGAATGACAAAAGTTAGAAATGAAATCAGTAATACATAATAAGTGATAAGTTGAGAAATATCTCGTTGGATAGTAAATTTCCTATTGGGCTAATTGCCTACAATGAATTATCTGTTAATTAAATGTTTACACTCTACAATGATAATTAATATCAATATAATCTGTGTTTATTTTGGAGTTAATATAAGAGGTCACCAATGTTGGACAAGATCTCCATTTATACATATTTAAAGTAAATAATTCTTGTAATGATAAAAATATATATTGATATACTTTGAGGACCATCTTAACATAACTGCGATGAATTTCCAGTCAATCAGAAAATAGCTTATATAAATGGATTTTTTATAGAAGAGAAAATAATGGCTATATGTGTGTGTAAAACAGTTTTAAGTAATCAGTCAATCTATTGCTATTCTCTATAGGTTATTCTGCCTATAAATCGAGAAAGAAAACAACGACATATAATCTCATTTTTATGAATATAGATTTTCAACCTTTCAAATCTTTGTAAGGACCTGTACGAATTTTTAAGCTACCATAATGTTCCTAGTTAGAGTTAGGTATTTAGGACAAGGGCTGGGGGGTTAGGGTTGTGTTTTTAATCAAGAACTAACATCAGTTATTGTGTAAAATTACTTGGTATTTATATAAATGAATAGATTTACCCATTAAATCTAGTACCATCAGATTAAATTTTGTTTCAGAATTGAGAGTTTACGGATGGGAAAGTCGATTTTCGTATTATATACAATCTAAACAGACACCATTGGTCATTTTATACTTTGAACACTCATTTTTACTTTATGGTGGAGAAAACATTTTCGGCTGTCATTTTCATAGTTTTTTAAAAGTATACGGAAGTAATTTTTCTGCTCCTCATACACTAATCGATTCGTTCCTTAAATAAAACTTTATCCCTATTATCTTTTTACTGAGATGGAGTAACGAACTACCTACCAAGTGTCTTTAGACTTTACCGAATCAACCTATTTCAGAGTAAAAATGTACGCATCTAGTTTCTTAAAATGAAGTCGAAATGTCTTTTGTAGAATATATCAACCATGATATAATGTGCAGTTGAACACAGAAATATGTAGAGTTCCAGAAAACATAATATTCCTAAATAACCGAGTTGAGATTCAATGGTTCGGGTTTTTAATTGTTTGTGGTATGGCTTGATCATTATCCAATATCGTTGGTGGATTGTTGTCTTAATTTTCGTGAAAAGGGAAACTCCACGACATCTCAATGGAAATTAGAGATTTATTAAAGCTTTTAAGGCCGGTGGAACAGTGTATGACACTCCTGTTGTATACTAGGTTCAAAAACAGTTGTATGATATATGTATACACAACGCTATTTTATTGGTCCTATTCCAAACATGGGATGACGAAATCAGTACGTGAAACCAAATCATAAAGTCATTGACTATTGCACTGAGTCGTTCACATAGGTGCAAATTACTTGGTTAGCTTCCGCGCGATTAAAGAAACCAGAGATTGGAGACCTTGAGTGAAATGGCTCTAGATTGGTCACAATCGTACAAATGCATTCTTTTTTTTACCATTCATTATTTCTCTTTCATATTGTCTGCCTAACCTCGTCTACTGCTACTGATATCATCTGTGTTACTGCTACTTCTACCCTGGATAATATGGTACGACAACTTAAGTCGATAGAAATATGTGTCAGGTGTTATTATGATTATAACTGCTAGCTGACTCTCAAAGCTGTTCAGTAGTGAACAGACTATTATGTTACTTCAATAAAAATACAGCTGCATCACAAAGAATTCAGTAGTATTAGTATGAATCGAGAAATGTAATTTTGCATTTGTTTTAGTCAGACGATCTAACTACAAACAATACAGAAATAGTTCAAGTACAGTCAATAATCAATGGCAATTTCGACTTTATTTGAGACTCCAATATTTTTGTCATGAATTTGTACAGAAATGGGACATAAAATCTGAAGATCTCGTTATTCAATCCCTTCTAGAATTCACTGGTTTGCCAGCTGAAATCACTCCAGGTATACATAAGTTCACGAAATCGAAGAGGATTTTGTAAACAATTTAAAAGTTAAGTGGTTAAACTACAGTTTGAGCATAATTATTTAGAAATATGCTTAAATGTATGCTAATCTATCAATTTAAAGCATTCTTTAAGTTAATAATTTTAAGATTTCGTATTTTCCCGTTGTTGGCGTTAAGGAATTTAGCTGATTAGTCGTCGTAACACATGTAGACCCCATAAGAATTCTTTCGATATTATCATTAAGTCACTAGTTTTTAATTAAGTTCGATAGTGGCCGACAATGTAATCTAGAACTCATATCTCGCAATACTTGTGAATTGGTAGTCACATGTACCTATTTACTAGTATTGATGTCCACTCTGTTACTCGAACCAAGTACCTGTCTCTTTGGGAGCTAATGCCTTATCTATCGAGCTATTGAGTCCATATATAGCCATTGGCTAGTTTAATATGTATGATGTTGATTCGTAAGGGTTTGTATTTTTCTACCATTAATATTCAGGACTGCAATGGATCAGTATCTGATCTCTCAAACCAGGGTTTATTTGGACTCAACGAACAATATGTTGTTATTTGAATTGAAAAGTACCGCATTCGATTCTCCTGTGTGGATTTATAACATCAGAATACATGTAGAATTAACTGACGGGTCCCACTGTTAACCACTATATCACTTTGATAAAAATCCTTTGAATTCGCCTATTACTCTCATCAAATTATTACGATAAAACAAATCATTTTGATTGTTGTTGTTGTTGTTACAAAAATATTAATTTAGAATATTTTAGTTGAGCAGTTCGCATAACATTAATTTTTTTTTTACAGAAAAACAATCCTAATTTGTTATAAAAATAAATGTGGTTAAAATTTGTCTGACCTGGTTTGTCTAGACTGAAATGAGTGTCTGTGAGTTCGAGTGTTGTTTTGTATAAGAAATTACACGACTTTCATTTTCCCTCTCATATACATTTAAATAAAACTAAAATACAAAATCCATGATACCATATATATACTCTGTCTAGGCCACTACTACTTACTATCTATTATGAATTTTGTTAATATTTTAAAATCTGGATTGTGTTGAATAAAGCAGAAATAATTGTTATTATTATCAATTTATTAATAGATTATTCATATTGTTTTTTCGGATATGAGATTCCAGAAATGTTTTAAGCTACTAAGTTTTACTGTGAACGAACCACTCTACATAACGAAATTCAACTAAACATTGGAAATGGCGTTCTGAATACAACACTATACAATAGTAGTTTAGAATCCTATTTTTTCTCCTTAGAAGTAAAAAAACTTCATCAATAACTACACATAATCGTAATTATTAGGGAAGTGGAATTGAACTTTGGACAATTTCTAAATAATTATATAGGAATTTTTAAAAAAAAGGGTTATAGGTTTGTGAAAACTTTAATCACTAGAAAATGTAAAACCCATTTATGGGTTCGAATAGAGTTAATTATACCTCTGAATCTATCACAGCAATATTTAATCCATTTCAAGATGACATAAGCAATGCGAGAACCAGCTGTTTTACCTAGTTTTTTTTATTAAGATCATGAATCGATTGATGCTAGACCACCATTGAAAACCTGGAAGTAATGGACGGCTATTTCGTCCTATTGTGCGACTCCCCACGATCCCGCTCCGTGGGATTCGAACCCAGGGCATCCAGTCTCGCGCGAACGCTTAACCTCTAGACCACTGAGCTGGCCGGCATCCAATGGTGTTGATGTCTAACTTCAACTAATCCACGAAATCGTGCAGCCATCTTTTATTGTATTGAGGTAGATACTTGTCTCTACCCGACACGGATTAGCTCCACTGGTCACGGCTTCTCACTAGAACTCCGAGAATTCCCTCACGAAGCTAGTCACCAGTGAGCACGTTAATTACCAGTATAGGGGTTGTGGAGATTGTTAATTTTTTGATTGACATCATGAACCGATTGATGTTAGACCACCGTTTTACCTAGTGTTATGTCATCTCCATTATATTCATAAATGTCAAATTTTATTTAACTAGTATTTCATTGCTATAACGTCAAAAAATTCACTTGACAAGTAAATGCATCATGAAATCGTTCAAAATGTGGTGCACTGAAACACGAAAGTTATCAAATCAACTTGATCTGATCTCTCTTATAATTGTTGTGAAATTACCTAGTCAAGTCAAGTAACTAAACTCATAATCATACATATCTATACACGTAATTCATTCCGCTAATACATTCACAAGGAACATTTCCCAGTAACAAAATCTCATCACTGATTATTAGCATTCTTGTTACGTACATTATAACCGTATGATTGATTATCTAGAATATGTAAAGTGTTACTCAAATAAATATTGTGAAATGTTTAGTTTAGAAATAAATACAAGTAGACCAGTGAAATTTACAATCAAATTAGTCAACATTTATTTTCGAGAAATACAAGTAAACAGAATGAGGAAATTCAACAATAAGTCATTATGTCTATCAATTCACTGATCCAATTCTAACAATCTATAAGTGACGTTTATCAGGAAAGATATATTTGTTACGAGACGCCCTTGTGATAATAGTGTATGCTATCGTACAATAAGATTAAATATAACTACCAAAGACAGCCTCTCCTTCTCGAATCGATAATAATTACAACACAAATCAAAGCTTCAATATTTGTTCATCAACATATGAGTGTTTGAGAAAAAACGAGTAGTGATTTATTTTATTGTTTGGATCGTTTTTTCGTTTTTTTTGGTACATATTTTGTAGTCTGGCAGTTACAATTAAACCAGACAAATCGATAGAATCAGGGTAACTAAACCGTCTACTATTACAATTTGCGAATAATTATTTCAGTGACAAGATTTTCGTAACAGACGAAGTTATACATATACAGTGATTTACAAACTGCACTTCTTGATA